TAACCATTAATAATGTGGTATTGACTGCCATATGGTATAAGTCAGCAATATGGGCAATGAATAGGGAGACTCTCAAAGTTTTTCAACGATAACTTGCAACCTATCTTTGAAAAGGAAACCATGAATGTGTAAATGCAATCAGCAGAGTCGCATGGATTAATATAATCCAACCTAAGTCCAAAACAATGACTTTTTCCATCGAGTCGATTAAACGTCTTCTCTTTAGGCCTTTCATCTATTGGGGTGGTTTGGGTTGTGAGCAAATAAGACGATTAAATTCTTTAATGTAGTTAGAAAATGGATTATGGTCGATCCCTAGGGGTTCCTCGATGAATGAACTAACACAGGAATTGATACAGGAAATGTCTGATAGACAAACAGTCAAAAGGGACCTCGGTAATGACTCCTACTGAGTGACTTTGTTAGAGACATAGAGAAAGCTTCCACTGACAAACAAAATTACTCCAGAAATATGAGAATAAGTGTGTCAACAGACCCTGTTTAATAACACTTTTATAAGGGACTCTCAAGGCTGTATGTTACATTGTATGGATTCTCCATGGAAATGGTGGATTAAGAATGAAGTTATAGGGATTAAGGATATTTGGGATTCGGTCACCTGAGGTTGGATCTCTCGTATTAAATTGCGTGCCATTTTGCGTTATTGTCACCACATGTATGAAACCTTACAACAGGTGATTGATATAATTTTACAGGATTGGGTCTGGATTTTAAAGAAAGGACCAAAATTTAATTCCAATGACTGAGTGACTCTCAATGATCCGACGTAAGTTGTGGGGAACATAATAGAAATTAGAAATCTTTCGTACAAAAATGATTATTTTGTTTATTTTGACTTGGATCCAGAAGGGTTTGCCCAACAAAGACAACAAGAGGATATTAAGTGGCTTAGGGAAGACCAAATATTTTGAATCAGAGTGTTAAAAATGAAAGATAAACGACTAACATTTAAGTCAGACACACCCATAGATATATTGTTTATAGACCCAACAACTTGGATCTGGTCATCTACAGAAGGGAGAGGAAGGTCCTACTCTATATCCCTTCACACAAAGAAGGTTAAATCTTCCTATAGGATGCTTCGGCCAGAAGTCAATATCTAGGATAAAATTGAGTCCAGGTGGATGAAGCATTTAAATGTGAATAGTAATGTTTTCCGCTCAGTCAAATGGTTCTAGTCCATTAGAGTCAAACCAACTAAAGTGACATCCTTGCAATGACAAATTGTCCATCGATGCCTACCAACAAATTATTGGATCATGGACAGAACCACACTAGAACAAAGAGCTCTAACCTTGCCATGGTGTAGGTTTTGTAAAATTGCATTCCCATCCAAACCCATCCCTGAAACTATTGAGCATATTTTTTTTCAATGTCCAGGTGTTGTTTGGTTATGGCGATGGTGAGGCAAATTATGAATCTTCTAGAGACATCTCAACCATGGCCATGGGAATGAAAGACACTTCTACTTGAGTTTTGGAACCCAGACCAGTTGGGTGATTTTACCTGAAACTTTTTTTTACTAGAAAGGAGGGCACTTATGTGGGCAATATGAATGAGAAGATGTACCTATGAATTGGAGGGAGTGCGGTTGGATGACCCATAATTTATTGATTCTATTAAACAACAGATACAAACAACAATTACTACCAATTGGGATCAGGTCAAAAACAAAATATTACATCTTTCAACCGGGAATGAGATCTTACAGTACATTCAACAATTCAATCAAAGTTGGCTTGGGAGGAACCAGGGAGGGAGAATGGGGGAGGTAGAGTGGGAGAGAGGACAAACAACTGATCGCAATGGCCAAGATGACCAATATATTCAAGAGAAGCTGCAAAGGAATGATCGCTTGGTTTTCAAAGATTGGACTACCGTTGATCCTTTAATTCCCTTGAAACCTGTGACAGACTTTCCGGATCTCTTTCCTCCAAATCATCCTTGTTTAGTCCCTAGGTCATGGTATGGTTATGATTGAATGAGGGTAATGAGTGTTAGATACTGACCTGGTTAATCTAGATGATAAAGGGGGGACTAGTGCTAGGGTGTCATGCCTTTCTGGCGCCTACACAAGGTGAAGAGGCACACACAGCCCCTCACCCCAAATTGTCTCCTAGGACTGGTCTGGATCAATGAATTGGAAGGCTTCATAGAGGACGATGGGCTCGGTTCCCATCATGTGCTGATGTATCAACTTATCATTGTATCTCAAGGGACTCTGGACCCCTTTCCAACAGATGTTGCTCCGCACCAATAGAGTGGAGCCCCCAACAAGATAGATAGGAGTGCATGCTTGTATCATCACTCTTATCTGTTGTTACAAGCGTTTTTWTTAAAAAAAAAAAAAAAAAAAAAAAAAARRAAATTGATAGGGTCATCCGATCTGTGTCGTAGCTTCGCGTACATCCCACTCCGTGTTGTRTGAAAACTCAAGGCACACCTCAGGATGATCATGCGGATATGACGCGGAATGTTCGTACCTTCCCACCAAGTGTCGGAATGCACCAGAAACACATCATCCTTTATCACATGCATGGGAGGTGGTTGACATCGACAAAACTTGGAGGGGAGATCCATCACACACATTCACCGTTTACAAAACAAATATGACCCCTCTTTGGCATACGAAGTGTTACAAGAACAGGTGGCAAAAAAGCGGCTACAACTTCTGTGCAAGCAGAAGAGTGTAACGGAAGCGGGTCTTGGAAGATGATCCCTTTGGGCCCAGCGAAGAAGAGGCCCGCGCGAGGAGGAGGCGGAGGAAGAGGAGCAGATGAAGAAGAAGAATGTGGGTAAGAGGAAGTCGAGAAGTGGATTTTTTTTAATTAACTTCGGATCTATTCTATCAGGCCGCTACGACGATCGAGTGCCCAGAAAAACTTTAATTAGCTTCTGATCTATTCTTTCAAGCCGCTACGGCGATCGAATGGCCAGAAAAACTTAGCGAAGCTGATCGGGTGGACTCAACCGATCAGGTCCAGCAAAAAAAAAATCCAAAAAATTCGAGAAAAAATAAAGATCCGTGCAAGGACCAGGGAAGGTCCCACAAAAATAAATAAATAATATTAATAATAATAATCGAAAAAAACTATTATGCGGAAAAATAAACTGAACAACTTTGCCTCAGGATCACATCCAAATTCTTTACCAAATTTAAAATACGAAATAAAATTTTAAGAATATTTTTTCTTTTTTCTTTTTTCTTTTTTTTTGGCCCGGCCGGGCAAGTGACCCTGGCCACTCTGGTAGCCTAGTGTCTGACAATATTCAAAAGAAAAAAAAAAACAATCGAAAAAATATAGCAGATTAGTAGTATCATCATGTTTCTGTTATCTTTCTTCAAAACAATTTGTTCCCGAAAATCATAATAAGAATAAATTTAATAAAAGTACATTTCATCTGCCCTTCAGTTACGCCGGGTTGTGGCGATCTCCTGATTCTTACATTGTTTGCTCACTCTGATTGACCCTTTCATCGCAGTCGTATGGGGATAGGAGGAGGAGGAGAATAGGAAAGGGCGGCTCCTCTGCCATGTCATAGGAGGAGGGGAGGGAGGGGAGGGAGGGACTGACAAGGTTGGGAAAAAGGGGAGAAAGGTTAAGGAGTGGAAACCGGAAAAGGTCAAGCCTTCGGAGAAGTGTCCGTGAAGTTTCTCTGATCGTTCTCCTTTTTCATCTTTTGCTTAATGATGATCGCCTTGAATACCACCCCGTCTTCCCCCTACCCGTCGTCCTCCAAATACAACTTACGGTCATCAAAGCTGCATTTAAGGTATCTTTCAGTCTAAATACAGCTAAAATGACCGTATAGGGGAAATAAAATAAAAATTCGGGACAAATATTCGACAGGCATAAGTTCGATCTTTCTCCTTTCAAAACCTCCCCCATCCCTGTCCTCCCTCTCCCTTTTCTTTCTCCTTCCTATCTTCCCTATTCTTCATTTTGATCGTGCTCGCTGTTCTTCCTGTTCATTTTTCTCCTGTTCATGTTTGTAGGCTGGCGCCTACATTTTCTTTTGTGGGGTTTACTGTGTCTGTGTTGTTTATAAGCATCTCTCTCTCTCTCTCTGTCTCTCTCTCTCTCTCTCTCTCTCTCTCTCTCTCTCTCTCTCTCTCTCTCTTGTTCGTTGTGCTGTCCTTCACTCTTCTTCGCCTTCCTCCCGAATAAGGATCTCTCTCTCTCTCTCTCTCTCTCTCTCTCTCTCTCTCTCTCTCTCTCTCTCTCTTGTTGGTCGTGCTGTCCTTCACTCGTCTTCGCCTTCCTCCCTCCCTCCTCCTCCCTCTCCCCCTCTGCTCACGCCGCTCCACCGATCAGACTCTTCTCTGTCCTCTCTATCATTTCTGTGTTTCATTCTGATCGTGCTCGTGGGAGTAGGGATGGACGAGGTGTAGCGACGAGGTGTAGCGGAATACCAGCATCCGATTGCTAAGACTATCGTCCTGACGGGGGGCAACTGATTGGCATTGGCGGAACTGTGTGTGTAAAAGTTCTAAAAAATTTTGCAAGTGGCAAGCACTCACAGTTGTGCCATTTGTCAGTGAGAAGTGTCCACTTCTCTGACAGGTGGAAGTGATTTCTTAAGGCACAAGTTGAAACGGGACGAGGTAATTAATGCTCCCATCCGTCGACTGCGACACCACACCCCCGAACCAACTAATTCACACACAATCAATCACAACACAAAAGGCATTAACGATTGACGATTGGAAAGGCGGCGATGGCAAGATCTGGCAGAATTGAGCGGCACCAACAAAACCAACAGGTATCAAAATGAGAGAGAGAGAGAGAGAGAGAGAGAGAGAGAGAGAGAGAGAGAGAGAGAGAGAGAGCGGTGCTGGCAAGATCTGGCAGAATTGAGCTGCACCAACGAAACCAACAGAATTGGCAAGATGCGGCGGTGATGAAAGTGTATCTATGGTGCGCTGCAGTGATACGCTCATGTTGGTATTGCGGGCGGGGCGTCCTCGGTGAAGGTAGACGATTATAGTCATTGTTGGTGAGTTTGAGAAGGAATGTTTTTGCGTGGCGGAAACGGATGTTGATGTCAGGGGAGGGGTCAGGCCGCTGTAGAGATTGCATTCGGTTGTGTTTGTTGAGGGCGAAGAAGTCATAGTGGTGGGGTGAGAAGGCAGCGTGGTCAGTCGTGACGAAGTCTTCCCACAGTATCTGTGTGATGATATGTTCAATGTTGTCTTTGGTTAGCAATCGCAGTCATTCATCCCATCTGACGTACGGGGTAGGGGCGTCGGCGAGCGAAGAAGTAGAAGTAGCAGGATGGACAATTGTGGAAATGGTGAGAGGAGCGGATTGTGGATGTGTTGAAGATAGGCTGCGACAGGAGGAGGAAGGAGATGGGAGCGGGATGTGGGCGAGAACGTCGTTGTCAAAAGGAATTTGGGATAAAGTCGACACAGCGAGAAGAATTGCAGTCGCCGTTGCAGCCATTGTGGTAGAATCGAGAGATGAAGTCGCAACCATCGTGGTAGATTTGAGAGATGAAGTAGTCGATGCAGCGAGAAGAGGTGTACTCGTTGTTGCAGGCAGCGTTGCAGATTCGAGAGATGGAATCGTTGATGTGGTGGGAAGAGTCGATGTAGAGGGACTTGGCTTTGTAGTTGTAGTTGCAGTCGCAGTCGTTGATGTTGAGGCACTCATCATTGTCGTCGTCGATGTAGTGAGAAGAGTTGCACTCGTTGTTGCAGGCAGTGTTGCAGATTCAAGAGATAAAATCGTCGACGTGGCGGCAAGCGATGATGTTGAGGCACTTGTCTTTGTAGTCGATGTTGCAGTCGTAGTCGCCGATGGTAAGGCACTTGTCTTCGAAGTTGTAGCAAAAGAGGTTGCGACGAGAGTTGACATCGTCGCGATTGTTGTGTTTGTAGTCGTTGTTGCAAGCATTGGTGTTGATCTCGAAGACGAACTTGTTGAGGACGACAGTTTGGACGATGCTTTCGGTTTCTTGTCCGGCGGCTTGTCTTCATGGGCACCTGCAAGGCAGGAGCAAATGGAAAGCGAGGAGAGCAGGGGGAAGGCAAGGAGTAGAGAAAAAACAGAAGCGGGGCAAACCGGTTAAAGACGGTGTCGAGATTGCGCATTTCTGTCATTTGTTGCCAATGGTTTTCGAAGAACTCATTAGGGTCAGCAAGAGCATAGTGGAGAACGATGTGAACAAAGAGGTCTCGAACCATGGCTGATGGTGAGGCGAGGATTGCGTCTTGTAGAACAACATCAAATTGTGTGTTGTCGTTCAACAGGCCAAGTGCTTTGCATGCGGATTGATATGTTGGATGAATTTCGTTATTGACTATGCGAAGGTGTTCGAAGCTTGTTGCGCCGAGGGAGTGAGGTGATAGGAGTATTCGGAGGTAGAAGTTGTCTCCTCTGTTCGGGTGGATAGTGTGTATGCGACCAATGGTGTTTGCACTGCGGCTGCGGACGATCCAGCGCTTTGTGGGTTTGTCGAAGCGAAAACGTCGGATCATGTCCTTGTACAGGGGTTTTGTGTTATCAGGATCGTCTTGATGCGCGGCATTCCATTTGAACCATGCCGTCAGCTCCGTTTCGGGTGCCGGGGCGTGTGCGATGCGCTGAGCTTCGTGGTGGTGAAAATACACGCGCTGGCGGTTTTCAGTATGGAGAGGGAGGGGCGAAACAGGAGGGTATCGCTCAGCGATAGGAAAATCGAAAATTCGCCAGCATGACTCGGCAACGCCGACTGTTCTCATGTCCTGGTAGGCTTGGATTTCATCTTCTGTGTTTATTGCCTCGGCCACCATTGCTCGGTCCGTCCCTTTGAGAATATACTCGAACATATACCGACACGCGGCAGTCGATGCACAAATTTCAACGTTGAAGTATGTGCGATACCAGAGGAGCAAGTAAGGGTTGTAAGGGACAACCCAAGAATTGTCAAGGTCGGTGTCACCACGAGCGATGACCAAGCCACCGTCAGCAGGTGCACGCCGTTTGTAAATCGGGTAACCGGTATCTTCGTTCCACGTTGTGTGGTCGGAGAAATCTTTAGGGGAAAACCGTGTGCAACGGTCGTTATGCATGCAGGGAGCATGGATATTGTGTATGCCACACGGATTGTGGATCATGTGAGTGAGCACGAGTTCTTTCAGAGCTGGATTAGTGGGAAGCTCAACGCAGACTACAGCGTCGATTTGCTCAGGGGCGACAATTTTGTGGTCATCTTTTAAAGTGACGATAATGTAGGCAGGCGGCAAACCGCGTTTTTGGACTCAATGACGCATGTTTTTGGAACTCAATGAGTCATTGTGGTGCACATTTCGATGGAATGATCACTATCGGCACCAGAATGGTCATCACCATTGATATGATGAGCAAGAACGGAAAGAATGTTCCACCGAAACTCGAAGATATACACTGCGACTTTTTTAGCAAAACCGGAATGCCATCATTGACAGTATGAGGAAAAATGGAATGAATGTTCCGCCGAAACACGGAGATATACACAGATAAAAAGCAGAAGCGCAAGAGGGCCCGGACTGATGATACAGAATACCCATCTTATCTATCGATTGGATAATGAGATGACCGACTCTGCAAAAAAAAAAAGGGAAAAAAAAAAACAAAAAAGGTGCCAAATATAGGCATCGCTGTTTTATTTGGGGATAACGACTTTGCGTTTTCTTTGTGCGATTAGATGCCCTCTGTCTCTCGTTCTCCTGTCTCTTATACACATCTAGATGTGTATAAGAGACAGCCTCCCTTGGGTGGGCGTATCCCCGCCGAGCTACAAGTCCACAGTACGAAAG